ACTGAGAGAGAGAGAGAGAGAGAGAGATGAGGCACATAAAAGACACGGTAAACAGGTAAGTGGGGAGAGGAAATGGAACCAATAGAATGAACAAACATAGAAGAACCATTAGTTATCGCACTAGTAATAGGAGAAGAGGGTGACACACAATCACCAAGGGATGCAATAAGAGTCATATGATGAGAACAACCACAATAAAAAAATCCACAAAGTGGATATACCACCTGAGAAAGATGAATTAGGCAAACCTAACTGAGTGGTAGTTATAGCAAAGGCCTAGGATGAGATATTCAGATTGGCCACCATGAAAGATGTGAACTGCTCAAACATAGAATATAGAGTGGGAGATGGAGCTGGATCAGACATGGGGGTAGCAAGAGCAGCTGAACGACGGGATGGTCGTTGACGGGATGGAGATGATGCATAAGTTAGAGGACAACCTTTGGGCTGCAAAAGCGTGGGAAAAGCAGGCTTCCAATGACCCTTCTAGTGCCAAAAACTACACTCATCCATGGCAACTCGAGGCTTATATTATTTTATTGTCTTTTACTTAAGGGTATTTTAGTCTTATGCATGTAATTAGGACTTTAGGGTATTGGTAGTTTAGTATATATATTGTACTTCAGCTTTCGGTTAATCATTGAATAATACAAAATATTACCTTTGTTAATATGGTATCAGAGCTAGGTTACAACAGCAGCCTTAGCACATACGAGTAGCCTTCTCTTGGTTTGTCCTTTTACCCTTTGCATACGTGTGATTGCAGACCCAGAAATCTTTTGCAGGTCCTGTATCGTGTTTGAAGCCTTCAGACAAGTTTGTTTCAACCATTTGCAACTCACAACTCTCACGCGAGTTCTCTCCAACCACTTGCAAACCCTGCATAATACTTCCCTCCAGCCATCACAACCTTCAAATGACTTCGTTCCAGCCATTCGCAACTCCCAGCTCTCACGCAAGTTCTCTCCAGCCTCTTGTGAACCATTCAGGTCATTCGGGTTGAAGATTTTGACCCATCTTACTGTGGGTATCTGACCCATTGACCAGCTGGCTCTCCTGCTCTCTTCTTGGATTCCCAATTTCGACTTACTTGGTGTTTGAGTACTACGACTTCTGCTTCCGCTTCTCCTCTTGTTTTGATCAAACTTCTGCTTCTTCTCTGGTTGTTCTTCATTGCTGGGTACTTTAGTTTTCTTATCAGTATTGCTGAGAACTGTTTGGGCCGGTTACCATTGCATATTGATTGGTGAATATTGTTTGGGCTGGTTGCTATTCTCATTAAATTTTGCAAATATGTCTGATGTAAACTACATGCTATCACCATTAGGTTGGATGGGTCCAACTATTCATATTGGTCATATGTCATGAAAAAAATTTAAAAGTAGGCATAGGCATGTGGGGCTATGTTACTGGTGTCACAGTACAGGCTGATAAGAAACTGAGGCCAACGTTGCCAAATGGGACAAAGAGAATGCCTAGATTCTCACTTGGTTCCACAACTCTGTACAACCAAGCATTGGTATGAACTTTTCCAAGTATACTACAGCTAAGAAAGTTTGGGATTACTTGAAGACTATGTATCTCAAGTCCATTTTTGCTAAGCAGTATGAGCTCAAGATGACTATTCGCACTTCCACACAACGGGATAAGTTAGTTCAGAAATTCTATAATGAGATGACTGCATATTGGGATTAGCATCACTTTTAATTATTAACCCTATTTAATGAATCTTTATAATATTAATCACTTGTCACTTGTCCTTTCATAACATAGCACAGTTAACAGTTCTAGCTCTTCGGATCCAAGGCATGACAAATTCCACAATCACAAAGGTAATAGAAACAAAATTTACCAGCAATCTTACTTTTTCCCACTTAAAATTATGTATTAGACAAACAATCTGCTTTTGTGTGCTCAAAACTTTGTCAAAACCTAAAATGTAGTTTTATACGAGTATCCATGGCACCATATATGCAGATGTTGTTCCACCAAATTGAAAAGGTAATTAAAATTTGCACCACGTACAGAAGGTTTGCCATTGATAAGCAAAAGGGTAGTTGTGGCTCCCAACAATAAAAATGAAAGACCTTAAATCAAGGATGCTGCCTAGCTCATTGTTTAACAGTTTAAATGGAATTGCAAAGTTATGAAATGCACAAGAAATATTCATCTAGGCACCTTATATCCTTCATGGTTGTATACCAAACTCATACTTTCATCTAATCCTGTATAGAAAGAAGAAGCATACTGCATAGTTTGACCTGCCACTTAATATGTTGAAATCAAAATCAACTCAGAAAACAAACTGCAAGTTTTAAAATTGGTCCTTTAATGGGTTGAGTTTCTCTATCCTAATTGTCAGAAACATGCATTTGCATTTGTGAAAACTAAAGAAATGGAAAAGTCTGCATCTTTAGCGTAGTAACTCTTTCACGAATACAAAATTCATTCAATCATTCTATAACTTCACGAACAAAAAACTAGCACTGTAGCACACCTCAGTTAATCACTTTGATTATGAATGCAACACAGCAGATGGATTTGGGAGTACACAGTTTCGGCCAGACTGTTTTGTAGAGTTTTAGCATTGTTTTGAGAATGCTGCTATAAAAATGAATAGGCAGAAGGGAATGCGTTTCAGGGTATATAAAATAATCACAACCTTTGTTATCAGAATCTTACGATTCACGATTCAATTCACGATTTTTAATCTATGGGTTAATCTCTAGTGAATCACAATCGATAATCGATTAACGATTTGATTCACTTTTTACGATTCATGCAATTCTTGAAACTATCATTTTTGACATATTATGATTTTTTGTTTCTCTTTTTTTAAGTTAAAATGACATAATACAACTTCTAATAGTATTTAGTATGAAAATAACCAATATATATACATATGATTTGTTGTTATTTTGGAGATCAAGGAGCTTTTAATAGGATCCAATCAAATTCAATCAAACCCAACATGTTTTTAACATTTTCTTCTCATTTTTTTTTCCGTTAAAAAAAATCATAATTTATATTCTAAAAATGTTTAAGGTTAAAATAACTTCAATATGAATTTATCTATTGTTATTTTATTGAAATAAATATGCTTCAATATTACATGGTTGAGGTTAGTTAAACCTAATGGTTCTGCAAGTTCTTTGTTATTGGGTCATTGTTACTTCTAAAGGTATGTATGCTTATAAAATATCAACCTCATTCTTAAGTTATTGTTATTTGAAAATTGAGAGTTTTTTTTTGTTTTCTTTCTTTATTAAGAACAGTTGATAAGCAATATCTAAAACAGGGAAAAGGTAAGATGGTAATCTTACATAAGAACTAACTTCACCTATTAGACCACATGAACATTATTCAAAATAACATTTTCATTGATTTAAGTCTAAATATTTTATATTCATAAGATATATTTACCATACAAGTGTGTAGATATATTTTTCTAAGTAATTTAAAAAAAGTGACTGAATCTTTACAAATCACGATTTGGTAAAAGGTCATTTCAATTCACAATTTGACAACTATGATCACAACATAGTATGTAATCTTCCATCAGATTAAATTATTTCAATTGCAGCAAACAACCATGCAAGCATAGTCCTGTTGGTTTTATTAAATAACATTTCAGCCCTCTGGAAAGTAATGAACAAAAAGAAACTCTGATTTTTTTCCTCTAAGAAGTTTCAAATTTAATAAAAGAAACAAGAGTAGTTCTACTCTAGCCCAAAAGTTAGACCCACTTCTGAAACCCAATGATCTGGTAGTCTATTCGAATATCTAAGGCAACTTTCTCTCTCTCTCTCTCTCTCTCGTGTCTTCTCTAATCATCAGCCAATCATCTCTTTTACACAGCAGACTTCTATATCATTTCCCAAGAAATAAATAAGGAGCTATGGTACTTCATTCCTTTATGTCCCATAGAAGACCATTGTGGTATAGTATAAAAGGGCTCTCAATCTTTTGGATACATAGAAAAGTAGACAAGGTACCTATGATACAAGAATGGCTCACTCTTAATCTACAAAGCTTTGCAAGATACCTAACCAGATTCTTGGTTTTTGATGCAATAAGCAAATGGAAATGATGTTCACAGTTCTAAGACTATTTTCAAAGTGTAATATTTAAAAGTCAATTCAATACACATTTCTGACTTCTGTTCCATTTTTTCCATTTTTGTGATGAGTATATTTTCCTTTTTTCTTTTTAATTTTAGCATTCCATTCTTAGCACATGCATCTTACATCTCCTACAAATATGTTATAATCAACTTTAATTCTCTTACCTAAATCTATTTACCATGCATCTAAAAGCAAGGTTGGTTAACAAATCTAGTACAAAACAAATATAAAAAGAAGAAAGAAAAAGGATGATCACAGACTTTTTGATAGTTGAGGAACATAAACCCAAAGTTTAGAAAATTCAACTGATGCTGACCTGATGATCAGGGTTTTGAAAAACAAAACTCTTTGGTTTCTTCACATACACAAATCCATCAGTCGGTTTCAAGATACCTGCCAAAATCTGCATAATTCAGAAAATCATTACTTTTACATAGGAAAAAAAAACATGATTTTGTTAAACAAACTTACCAGAAAAGAGTTTTAATTGAACAAAATTGTGCCAGTTACAGTTTCATTTATTGCACAAAATGCTTGAACAGAATTATGCAAAAAGCACATACTGAAAGCAATTTAAGAAAGAATAATGTTGCAAAAAGTGTAAGTACTTTCAAAAGGGTAGATTTTCCACAACCGTTTGGTCCAAGAAGCATCCAAAACTGTCCTGAAGGTATGCATAGTGAACAGTCCTTAAGAATTGACACAAATTTACCCTGCCCTGTGGTGATTGAGAAACTCAGATTCCGACACTCAATGGCAAATTTTTCATTAACAGCATTCCTACAGATGTAGAACGAAACATAGTTAAAAACAAAAAAATCCAAGTAATATAATACACATCCATATGTTAATGTGCATATATGTATTGAGAGAGAGAGAGAGAGAGGTGTTTGAAAAAATGCCCAGCTCAAAAACGAGAGTGAGAGAATTGGTTCAGGGTTGAGAACCTCGTGGAGGGTCTAGTGGAGGGGAGGGGAGGGGAGGGGAGGAACTAGAAAATGGGGTGAAGAGGCAGGGATGAGAGCAGAGTGATGATTCAATTTGACATACCAGCTCTGTTTTTCTTCTAACAAAATTCAAGTACCCAATTGTTGGAGAATTTGAAGGTCTTTCCTTTTTAGGAGACTCCAATCATAGTACCCTCCTATATATATTTTCTACTCTACGGGGAAATGTTTCAAATGATACATAGAAACATTTAAACATTTTTGTTCACTTTTTCTATTTTCTTTTTAGAAAGAGAAATACTAATTACTGGCCATTGAGCGCTTGGTAACCTTGATGTGTGTGTAAAAAGTATAATGAAATACAATAAAAACACATGGAAATATGTGAAATGTGTATTGAAGTCCTATTTTACTTAATCATTATTCGTTCCTTAATTGACGCCTTTAGCAAGACCCCTAAAAAAATTTCATTTCAGTAAGTGCCAAATTTCATCATTGTATGCTGAAGTTCACTGCAAGGTTATTGGATTCTGTGTCTGCTTCAGAAGAACAACTTTCAATACAGAGGGAAAATCCATACCCTCCAGAGATTATAGTCTTTAGTTGACCAACAATCGAGCTAACCGGAATGTATTTCGATTGCTCTTAATGTTGCCTCAAATGGTTATTAATTTTTGGTGAATATTTTTCATATTTAAATCAATTTTTTAAACTAAAAAAATTTAACTAAAGTATGAGGAGAAAAAAAAAATACTAGAGCTAAAAAATAAGAATTGAAAACTCAAAAACTGTTTTTGAAAAATCATAACCGAATAGAGTGACTAGTAATTCATGGTAACATTGGGAGACAAACAAAATCACCCACAGTCACTACCAATCACCCATGTTGTCAGTGAATGTTCACCATAAGCCAGTCTATCACCTACAGTCACCACTGTTGTGAATGTGCATCCACAACAGTAAGTAGATACTTGGAGAAGAAACTAGGAGAAGAAACAAGAGCTTAATTCAGACTTTCAGTAGATTTCTCGCATACAACAGTAAAAATTATTTTCAAAGAAAAAAAGTGTTATCATCATAGTAATTAAAAGCGCAGTAATAAATAAATTTCACTAATGCAAATTACCATTAAACAGTGCAATTTACAATAATCTACCAAGCAATTAACCAAAGCCTAATAGCATATGAACCTATCGAATTTAGAAACCAAAGAACTTCAAACGCTAGAGTTTTCAATAACTTTCTTTAATTTTCTGCAAACCAAAAGATATAATGGATAACCTCTCCAGATCTTCCCCCAACAGGACATTCACACAAACAACTTGCATCAACTTCCTTCTCATTTGTCAAGGTAGCATTCTTGTTGAAAAATTGATAGCAACTGTATTCCCACGTGGTACTTCCTCAACAGTTTCTGAACTTCTTTCCACCTCTTTGAATGGCATCAGCGCATAAAACCACATTACAAACTTCATAGCAACTTCGTTCAAAAAAAAAAAAAAAAAAAAAACTTCATAGCAACTTCCATCTCATTTGTCAAGGTAGCATTCTTGGTGATAAATTGATCCAGAACAATCATAGCAACTGTATTCCAACATGGTACTTCCTCAACAGTTTCCCACCTTATTTCCCATCCAAATAACAGTTCCCTGTGGTAAAAAATAGCAGGAAGGTATGCCTTGATGTTGCAGAGAGGTACCCAGCTTCTGAATTTCCTTAAACAAATTTCTGATTCAGAACCCTAGCAGTTGGAGCAATGCAGCATGGAAAGATTTGGTCACATCTCTGAATGGCATCAGCGCACAAAACCACATTACAAACTTCAAAACAAATAACAGTTCTGTCCACCAAATAACAGTTCTTTGCAGTAAAAAATCAAGAAATTTCCAAACACCATTTCCCCCTACAGCACCTTACAGCTTGACCTCATACTCAAAACACTGAACCTTGTACTGAGAGAGTGGTGAAAGGACTCTTGCCTATAGGCTTACAGGAGTATTTATACTAGATAAAGTCTTGGTCACCAAGCATAATTGGAGACCAAATATAAGAAACTAATTAATTAGGATAGTACTAGTCTTGGTCACCAAGTATAGTTGGAGACCAAATAATTGTTAGAATAGGAAAGAATATTTGTTATTTAATTTATTTTTTCCTTGATTGATGTAATGGGCTAGCCCATATTTTATACCTTATGGCACTTCTGTAATTACTCAGTATTATCAATATAAAAGGGGATGAGGTCTAACCTATTCCCTAACTCTCTCTTCTCTAAACTTACATGTATCAGAGCCAAAACCCTAGCCCATCGCTCTGTTGCCCTTCTTCTCACCTATCGGTAGTTCTATCTTTCCAACAGACCTGTCGGCAGTACCTCCAGGCAACCCATAGCCCCGAATCCCATACCCAAGTCTTCGGCTCTCCTCCTGCACTTTTCGACAGTCTCTTAGGCTTAGTCGGCAACTTCTCTAAGCTTCTAAGGGCCTGTTGGCAGTCCCTCTGCCCATTTAGGGGCTTGGCAACCGCTCCTCTGGCCTACGTGGCCCCTGTCGGCAGCCTCTATCTACCTCTGTTGGCCTTCTTCCTTCGTCTGTAATGGTTGTTCATCAAACAAGGTCTGGTTCGTCTGTAATGGTTGTAATGGTTGTTCTTTAAACCTCTTTTTTCTCTTAAACACACACCAAAAAAAAAAAAAAAAAACAAACAAACAAACAAACAAACTAGTGATATAAGAAAAAATAAAATTAAAAATATATATATATATTGATTCTTAATTCTTTATGAGTTTTTAGTTACTGTTGTGCTTGTTCCTCCACTCTCATCTTCCGGGTTTGTGATTGGTATTGTGGATGAGGAATAGTTAGTAGCACCTCCATGGCAGATTTAACTAATGAATCTACTACCTCTCAGCCCTCTCAAGGTGAGAGTTTTGTCATCCCTTCTACTATGACTGATAACCTTACCCATGGCCTTAAAACCACCACATCTCCATTCAATGGTCAGAACTTCCTAGCGTGGTCGTAGAGCCTGACTATTTTCTTGAAGAGCAGAGGGAAGATGGGATACGTTAATGGGAGGGTCCAGGCATCCAGTATCACAGACCCTCGTTATGACCAGTGGCTGATTAATAATTCTCTAATTATAGACTGGTTGATCCATTCTATGGTTCCGGAGATTGGCAAGGGCTACTTGTCTATGGACACTGCCCAAGATATTTGGGAGGCCGTAACTGCTACTTATTCCTGGAAAGGAAACTTCTCACGGACCTTCGAGTTACGTTGCTCCATTGAAAGATCGGTACAAGGTGAACAGACTATCCTCCAATAATTTACCTTCCTTAGCAATGGATGGAAGCGACTTGATCACTTTCAAGATTACAAGCCTGTCTATCCTATTGATTCTGCTGGTTACCGGAAGTTTATAGCGCAAGAGCGGGTCTTCAAGTTCTTGAAAGGCCTAAATGTGGAGTATAATCCGGTTCGGAGTAGAGTACTTGGATGGATGCGCTTTCTTCTCTCCAGGAAGCCTTTGCTTTTGTGTAGAATGAGGAGAGTCGCCGGTCTACGATACTTCCTTCTACCACCACTGATCGTTCTGCTTTGGTTTCTGCACCTTCCCGAGCTGGGGAGCATATGTCTCATGGTTCTCGTCCTTCTGAGAAGGATAATCTTTTTTGTGACTACTGCCATAGACCTCGACACACCCGAGAGACTTGTTGAAAGCTGCATGGGACTCCTTTTGGTGGTTGCGGAGACCGTCCTGGTACTCGCGGGGGTAGATCTGGCCCGTCTCGAGGCCAAGGAGCCAATGCTCGGGCTCATCTTTTAGACACGATTGAGCCACCACCTTCATCTCCCGTTGTCTCACCGGCTGCTGATGTTTCGGGGTTATCTGCCTTAAATTTTAAGATAGCCCTTCACCATTTGCTAAACTGTTGTGCCTCCACTTTTGCCATAGGTGCACACTCTTCTTCCTTTGCCAATTCAGGTAACTTGGCTTCCACCCCATTTACATTACTATCTCATACCACTGTGCCATGGATTATTGATTTTGGTGCTTCCGACCATATGTCCGGTTCCTTTCATTTATGTCAAAAAAAAGTGTGTATTGCTGAAGGTACTATGTTGTCTATATCTGAAAAAGGTTTAATTCATGTCACATCTTCCTTTCCTTTCCTTATCCTCTATCCTCCATGTTCCTAATTTTAGTGTTAATCTCTTATCTTTGAATCGTATTACTCGTGATTTGAATTGTAGCGTGACGTTTTTTCCTAATTATTGTCTTTTCCAGGACCATATCACGAGGAAAGAGATTGACAGTGGTAGAGAGGAACATGGTCTCTACATTCTCGATCAGATAGATAGGCTGGCTCACTCATCTGTTCAGTTACCATCCACCAAGGAAGACCTCTAGCTGTGGCACCGTTGTTTAGGACATCCCTCTGTTTTACTACTTAAGCATTTATTTCCTTTTGTTTTTGAGAATAATAGTGTCTAATTTTTAATACGAGTCTTGTCAACTTGGGAAACAACGAGCTTCTTTTGCTCCTATTAATAAAAGTTAGGTTCCATTTACTTTGATTCATTTTGATGTTTGGGGTCCCTCACGTTTGTGTCTTTAAAAGGTCAAAAAAGGTTTATTACTTTCATAGATGACTATTCTAGGGCAACTTGGGTCTATTTGCTAAAAGATAAAAGGGTAGTGTTTTCTGTATTTCAAACTTTCCATAAAATGATTTGCACTCAGTTTGGGTCTATCCGGGAAATGTTTAATTCATGTCACCTCTTCCCTTCCTTTATCCTCTGTCCTCCATGTTCCTAATTTTAATGTTAATCTTTTATCTTTGAATCGTATTACTCGTGATTTGAATTGTAGCGTGACGTTTTTTTCCTGATCATTGTCTTTTTCAGGACCTTATCACGAGGAAAGAGATTGGCAGTGGTAGAGAGGAACATGGTCTCTACATTCTCGATCAAACAGACAGACTGGCTCACTCATCTATTCAGTTACCATCCACCAAGGAACACCTCTGGCTGTGGCACCGTTGTTTAGGACATCCCTCTTTTTTACTACTTAAGCATTTATTTCTTTTTGTTTTTGAGAATAATAGTATTTGATTTTTAATGTGAGTCTTGTCAACTTAGGAAACAACACCGAGCTTCTTTTGCTCCTATTAATAAAAATTCAGTTCCATTTATTTTGATTCATTTTGATGTTTAGGGTCCCTCACGTTTTGTGTCTTTAAAAGGTTCAAAAAGAGTTTGTTACTTTCATAGATGATTGTTCTAGGGCAACTTAGGTCTATCTGCTAAAAGATAAAAGTGAAGTGTTTTCTGTATTTCAAACCTTCCATAAAATGATTTGCACTCAGTTTGGGGCAGTTGTCAAAATTTTGATTTTTTCTGATAATGGGAGGAATATCTTGACTCTGATCTTGCCAGTTATTTCATCACTCATGGCATTATTCATCAAACTTCCTGCACTAATACCCCTCAACAAAATGGTGTTGTTGAAAGGAAAAATCGTCATGTCCTTGATGTGGCCCGTTGTCTATCCTTTGAATGCGTGTTCCTAGGGATGAATGTCCTTGATGTGGCCCGTTGTCTATCCTTTGAATGCGTGTTCATAACATTATTTGGAAACTTAATCTCTAACAAAATAAGTAACTAAATATACTAAAATCCTAATTAAACTATCAATAAAATAAAACATACATATAAAATTACAAAATAAATAAAATTTTCATGTCACGTTCCACATCAAATGGTAGTGGATAGGTTTTCTAAAACAGTCCACTTTATTCCTTGCAGTAAAACAACTGATACTTTACATGTCACTAAATTGTTTTCCACGGAGGTTGTTAGACTACATGATTTACCTAATTCTATGATGTTTTATAGAGACGTTAGGGTTGTTAATTACGTATGGAAGATACTTTGAAAATTGTTCGACACTAATTTGAAATGTTCTTCAGTTTTTCAACCCCAAAAGTTTGGGTGATTTGATTAGATGCGTTGTGGGTGACAAATCGGGAAATTTGGATTAGTGTTACCAACTACATAGTTTGCTTACAATAGTTCAGTCAATCGGTCTACTGGTAGTCCTTTTGAGATTGTTCAAGGTATACCCCCAGACCAGCCCATTGACCTTATTATATTGCCTCTTGACGTTCATCCCTATGAATCAGCTGAATCTTTTTCCAAATACATTCAATGACTTGAATGTCAATATTAGGAAAAATATCATGAGTAATGACAATTATAGACTTGTTGCTGATGTGAATCATAGGAAACTAAAATTTAATGAAGGGGACCATGTCAGGGTCTGTGTGCATCCTGAGTGCTGTCCTACGAATTCTTTCGAGAAATTTCATGCTCGAGCCACTGAACCTTTTCATATCATTTGAAAACTTGAAACCTAATGCATATTTACTAGATTTTCCTTCATCTACGAAAATTAGTCTCATTTCAGTGATGCCAATTTGTTTGCTTTATGTTAGTCATGTTGTCAATGTTAAGAATTTGTTTTCTTACCGAGGCACTTTAAACCTCCCACCTTGTCAACAGGTTTGCCTACAAGATTTCCTTCTCTATCAGTGCCATTTTGTCCTTGTCCTCGAGCATCTCTATAGTTTCATGATGATTAGATTGACGAAGTTCTTGACACTCGGGACGTTGGTTCTTTCCACGGTTATAGCCGCTATCTTTTTAGACGGAAGAATCGCCCAGACACTGATTATACATGCATCACATAGGATGAGTTTTGTCGTCTTGATCCCAAACTTTTGGAGCATTATCTTAGTCATGACTCTCCTAAGGAGAGTCCTCAGCTGGGGAGAAATGATGGGGATCAAGGAATAGGAGGCATGAAAACATATTTAATGCGCAAGAGGCATCATTTGGAAACCTAGTTTAACTTTAGGAGATTTAGATTTTTAAGTTTAATTTTCTTATTAGTTATGGAACACATACACACACATATATATGGGGATAGCATGAGGAAAATACTTGCGTTTGATGAATGCATATTAATTGAGAGTTTTTTCAGAACCCTATTTGTCATTTCGTCTACTCTAGTTCTACACCAAGTAGTAGTCAGTTTCTATGAATATCATAATAGTAAATGGAATCACCTTTTAGGCTAGCCTACTCCAGACATAGAATTCACTTACCCAGGCACCACCCACCACCCCAAAAAGTGAATGTATAGCAACTGGAAAACAGAAAGAATGCTATAGGGTACTCAGAAATAAGTATGAAATCCAAATTCATATCAGACAATCAAGTTAGAAAAACATCATTATCCACTTACCGACTCTTGCCTAATGATCCAAGAGCACAAAGCTTCACAGGCTGCCTTGTCTTTTTTGGAGGTGTCCCCAAATCACTAGGTATTAACTTTGCATAAATCGGTCTCATCATATTATCAATCCAGAGATATACTGTAATAGAAAGAGCAAGCCGCAAAGACCAAACCACTTGCAGTTGCAATGGTAGAGTAAACTTCAGCAGGAACTGTACTCAACTAGACGAACACAACATTAATCAGTTGTTGACGCAACTTTCCCCAAACATCATTCCAGCAATCAATTGGCATACGGTCAACCACATGGTGCCAAAAGATAAGTTCTTTCTTTGAATCTCCTGGTCCTTCCATTTTTTCATCTTTGTAGTATGGGAGAATCACTGCAGAGATTCAGAAAAGGACAAGCAATTAAAAAAAATTGACAGTAGAAAGAAGAAAATGGAAATAGTTATATAGTTTTTAAGTGATGATAATACAATCCAAATGCAAATCAAAGATCAAATTGAGAGAGAGAAAACAAATGCCCCAACTAGGGGTTTTACCCCCAAGGGCTAGAGAGAGAAACCAAGCTTTACTCCAATCACAATGTATATTCTTTAATCAAAAACTAAGTACAATGGAATATTACATCACCTATTTATAGAGTACAACTAATTGGCCATTTAACAAACACTTAACCTATCTATTCTACTACATCAGATATGCAACTATGTCAAACAATAATTATGTATTCCCAAGCCTAAGCAAATGGAATCACAAGAACCACCCAATGACCTAAGTCAGATTATAATGGAAATGCTGAAATTCTTAGAACAGATGTACACTTCGATGCAGAAACAAACTCGTATACAACAATATCATGGAATACATGATGAAGCACATCAGATAACATATACATACATAATAGATTGACATACAATAGAAATGAATGCAATAGTATAAAGGCTTAAAGATGAGCAAATTAATGAACGTCAGTTCCGGATGGAAAGGATTGGGAAAAGAGGAGGCCGAGAAGGGAAAGTTAAAAGTAAGATTGTAAAGTAAAACTTTCACAGATTAATTTCAGTATTCCATTTATCATCAATTCTGGAGTGAGTAAATTTAAAGGGGAACTTAGCACTCTGCTTGGATGGGGTGATTTGGTGAGAAAGAGAACTCTTGATCATGTTAGGTTTATAAATTAGGTCCGACATAGGAAGCAATGCTAAGAAAGAGAACTCTCTTATTTTGCCCATTTCATTTCTCACCAAAAGTGGTGTGATTTGGTGAGAAACAAGTTGATTAGCTATAAAATAGGGCAAAACTCATTTTACTCCCCTGTGGTTTAGCCCCAGAGAACTTCACCTCTTTTAAAAATAGTCGATTACCCCTCATGTCGTTTTGGACAGAAGTGTGACACTGACACCGTTAACCTTAAACATAAAACGACCTTAACACCCATCTTTTTCTCTTTCTTTTTCCTTCTATCTTTTTTATTATACAATTAATTTTAATTTAATCACAATTAACCAATTAAATAATATATAATCACTTAATTTCTCTAACTTTTAACTTTATTTCTAATTTAATATCATATTACATTATATTATATAATAAATAATATACAATATATTTACATATAGATATACACATAGTGCACATACACACCTACACACTGTGCATATATTTACCAACTGTGATTATACAAATTGATTTTTAATTATACTTGTGTATATGCATACTACGTTACGCGGACTCCTTGAAATTTGGAGGTACCCGTGTCGACACGACACGGGTATTGATCCGAGAAACGGCCGGGATACGGCCCTCTACAAATGGATACGGCTCTATTTTGCTCTAAATGCAGAAGAAACGAAAGAGAGGGCAAAGAGAGTACCTGGTCACTGGCTTCGATCCTCTATTCGATGAATTCGATCTCACACCCTTCGACTTCCCCTTCGAATTCGATGAGCGGGGCATGGCCCCTTCGACTTCGACGAGCACTACCGTAAAACGAGCTTCGATCTATCTTCACTGGCTTCATCTTCGATGATCTTCAATCTATCTTCTCTCTCTCTCTCTCTCTCTCTCCTCTGTTTTCTCTTCTCTTCTCTCTTTCTCTCTATTCTGCTCTCTCTCTCTCAAACGATATTTAATTAATATATATGTCATATATCAATAAAAATAACTATTTATAAATCATATTTATTTATAATATATATATGTCAATTAAAAATAAATTATATATATAAATAAATTTAAAATATTATCAATAAAAAATAATAAATATATTTAAAAAATAACTATTTAACTCATTTTCATATAATAAATATATTTTCAAAAAAATTATTTAACGTATCTCCATACCCGTATCCAAATTTGAACCCGTATCCACGTATCCTCAATTTTTAGTTTTGAAGTGTCCGACCCCCAGATGTGCACCGGCACCCGATATCGGCACTCGAGTCCATGTAACGTAGTACGCCTATATAAACATTATATATACATCTGGAACAGATCTGAGCATTTTGCATTCGAAACAAGTTGTCAAGCATCAATTTCCATATTGTAGGCATCAAGTTTCCATCTTATGACTAGCCATCTAAGTCCATAAATCTATTTTTCACAAATAAGAACAGATTCATATTGGAAATAAAATTATATTGTCAAAGATATCAGAAGATATGGAGATATCAAAATATATGAAGATCCCATGATTTGTGAATATTATGATTCTTTTGTATCTTTGATTTATTTCAATTCCTTAACTAAATGGATTTGATTGTATCTCCCACTCTATATATATGGTGTATCATGTAAACAAGAGTATCAAATTAAGTGAATGAAAGATATAGTCACCTAGGGCTTTGTGTGTGTGGATGTAGGCCAATATTAGCCGAACCACATTAAACTTTTGCGTTCTTTCTTTTCTCTTTTCTGCCTCTATTATCTCTCCATATTCAACCTTAATGCTAAAATCCAACTACTCACAGAGGTGTAGGTGAAGGGAGAGCGAGTGGCAGTGGTGATGGGATGGTGCCAAGGCGTCGCGGGGATGTGCATAAGGGGAGAGGGAGTGCAGCGGGAGTGTAGTAGTGAGTGGGTTATGGGAGTGTGGGTGTGGGAGGAGAAAGTGGCAGCAGCACTGTGATGGTAAGAGAGGGTTACAGGGGTGGCGGGGGACAGAGGAAGAGGAAGGGGTAGCGGGGGAGGCCAATAAAATTGGGGAAGAAGATGATTAGGGTTAGGTTTTTGAAAGAAGATGAAACTAGGTTTCGGCGCACGTCACAAATTTTGTCAATTTGAACGGACTTATTAACAGTAGGGAGAATATTGTAAAACGGTCAAAACCACATGAGGGGTAACTGGCTATTTTAAAAGACAAGGGGTGAAGTGCTCCAGGCTTAAACCACATGGGGTAAAAAATGAATTTCCCCCTATAAAATATTTATAGTAACAAGATTGTCCCTTAAAATACAAAGAAAGAAAAAGAAATCTCACTCACATCCCTCTCTCACATGCTTTGCTTTCTTACCTATCCAAACATGATAGTGGCAGACCACATTCAATTCATTTCTTTTCTTTTCTCACCTCACAATCCGAATGGGCTGCGAGTCCTAAAACTTTTATAAACTGATGTCAATCAAGCAATGTAGCTATTTAATTAAATTGAAAGCAACTGGAATGTATGCAGGTTGAAATCCAAAATGCTTTGGACGCGTGGACAAGCAAAAAAGCACTTTGATTTCTAAGGGCGGCAGGCTTACTTTCATTCAATTGGGGTTATCTAGTGTTCCTATTTTATATCTTTGTTCAAAATTTCGGCAGGGTGCCCAATAAAATAGAGAAATTAATGAAAGACATTGTGTGGGAGGGTAGTGACAAGGGGATGGAACATTTTATCAGTTAGGGGATGGTGTACCTTCCAAATAATAGGGAGCTTGGGAGTCGGTAAAATAGTAGCTAAGAATTTGGCTCTTTTTGGTAGTGGTTAGGAAGGTTTCTAGTTGAACAATACTGATTACGGTACTCTGTTAGTAGGAGTATGTGTGGGTTGCAACCTGATGGTTGGAATTCTAAAGTAGTTGTCAGGGAAAGCTCTTGAGCTCCATGGAAATGTATTTCTCAGGGATACTCCCATTTTCTTCAGCTTGTTCATTTCAATTTGGGTGATGGGAAGAATATTTGATTTTGCAAAGATGTGTGGAAAAGGGAGGTGACCTCTAATATTTATTCCATAATTGGTATTGTTTTTCGCGAAATCAAAATGTTTCTATTGCGTCAATATTTCCTTCTTTTGTAGTGCCGATCTCGTAAAAATTCAATTTCTTTAAGAAGTAGAACGATTGAGGCTCACGAGTTGACATCTATGCCATATATTCTTCATGATGTTTCTTTGACAATGTAACGGATAGGAAGATTTGGTTTATTCATCCTTTCGAAGTGTTCTCTTGTAAATCCTTCTTTGATAGTCTTATTGATAATGCAAATGTATCACTTTTTAATTCTCACTAAAAGATTTGAAAAGCATTAGTGCCTCTGAAAGTTAAAGTATTTACATGCCTTTGGCACATAAGAAGCTCGATACCAATGATTTGATCCAAACTAATTGTATTTTGTTCCCTCAATAATGTATTATGTGTAGGACGGATGAGGAGAGTAATAATAATCATTTTTTGAATATTCTGTGAATCTGTCGCTACGTCAACTATTGTTTTCTCATGGTAAACAAAGTTTTTAAAAACATGTGTACCAATTATGCTTTTTGCTTTCACCAAAAACATAAACATATTTATTTATTTTTTTAAAACAAAAAACAATAAACTCTAAACGTTACCAAATGGCACCAAATATCTGCGTATCTATTTGTCTACAATTAGAGACAAGTGTTCAATTTGAGGTAAAACTAAGGCATGTACATACCAGCTAACAAAAAGAAAAGAAAAATGCAATAAAGAAGTAACTAATAAGTAGGGAGAAGATTTTCCAACCTGATATTGTCTGCCCATTATTTGAGTACTCCATAAATTGGACATTATTTGAGTTGAAAAGTCTCAAAAATTGACTGTAGTCAATTCTGTGTGAGTTTTCAGGGTCCCACTCTGATCCCCTTAATTTTCCCTGCATCGTCAGCAACTTCCTGCTCCAATCTGAAGTCATAACAAGTTGCCTTTCTAACTGAATATTAGCCTTTCTCCCAAGCTCTTCCAATTTATTTATGTGTTCTCTCTCCACATCCTTCAACTTCTGGAAACCCATGCAATGTATATAGACTTTTAAATGATTCAGATTATAAAACTCTCTATACTATTATCTATGTGAAGACTTACGATGGTGTTAATGTCTCAAATTTTGGGTACTCCTATAGTTGGTGTTTATGTAAAAATTATATTAAGAGGGATTGTGACTCAAAACCAAGATCATGCGTTTGATAAAGAAGGCACTTACCACTTGAACAACACATACAAGCATTCCTCTTTGTCATTATTCTTACAATATGACTTTTTTTCGAGTTGCACATGCATCACTACCGCTAGTTTGTCCATAAGCAAGCTATCTACCAATGTCCATAAAATAGAAACTAATATCACAAATCAGAAAGTAATATCTGCCATAAAACAACCTACTGACATCCTGTTTGTTGGTTGGTGATCAGATAAAATCTCTCATAGTTTAGTTGTTTTTTTCATTTATGTTTTTTTTTATTTTTTTCATTAGAGGCAAACAAGGCAATGCAAAACCAGGGCAGCAGTGTTATTTGAGGGGGGAAATGAACTAGTGACACACCTACCTCGAATAGCTGAGTTGACTGGGAGTCGTCTTCTTCATATTCTTCTTGTTGTTGAAGTTGAACAGAGCTCAAACTGGAAGTTGAAACTCTACAAGTAGAAACCCTGAATTTGAGTTTGTTGGGTTTGGCGGTAAGTGTTGTAGAATTGGACATAGAATGTGAATTTGTTATGAAAACATGCCTCGAAGAAGATAAAAGAAATTGCTTGACTAGGGTTTTACAACAAGGAGGACACAAGGGTTTTGCGAATGTCGCCGTCGCCGACGCCGACGCCGACGCCGACGCGTTTAATGTCATTTCTTATCTCTTCAACAATCAATCTGCTCTCTCTCTCTCTAGTTCCTTCTCTCTGTTCTTATTTCCCTCTCTTAACCATCATTTGCCCGTCTATAGCCTCTCCCTTAACCTGCGCTTTCCCACTCGCTCCCCTCTCTTCCGTATCCCTCTCCTATTAACTGGTGATGCCTCCTTTTCGTATTAACACATATTTAATAAAATATTATTTTAATAATTATTATATTTTTAATTAAAATAATTATATAAAAATATTTTATATATATCTTTTAAAAATAAAAAATAAAAATCTAATATATCTTTTAAGTAAAAAAAGTTTAAACCATAGTTTTTCTATTGTTATCACTTTACTTATTACACACTCTATATTCATCTATTACTTGTAAAATAATACTCTCCTAACAACTCTTATATTATTTTAATTTCGAGATTTATACTTTATTAGGGATGAAAAGGTTAATTTTTTTGTGCAGAATTTTTTTTTTTATTCATTTCGCGTTTTCAGTCGGACAATCAGTACCGAATTATTTTATTATATTCAGACATCAACTGCTGAATTTTTTCTTTTTTTGAACAAATTTGTAGAACTAATCACTTTTATTCAAAAGTTAAGTTTCGAATTAAGTGTATAATTTCAAAAAATCAATGTCGAAATTTTTTTTTTTAAAAAACGAGGGTTTTACAGCAATAGAGTGCACAGAGATCTGGAAATGGTAAATACAGTAATAAAATAGAAAGATGTCTCATCTTTAACAATATTTTGGAAGGTTTTCAATGGTATTTTCAATATGATCTTCAATAAAAGACTTTCTCTTTACTTCACTTTACACTGTAGTCTTGAATGATTTTCACGTGGGTCTACAATGGTCTACAAATCTGAAAGTAGAGTCACTCAACAAATATGTGAAAAAGAGGGTTAAGTGGTGTGTACAAGGGTTATGAATGAAGAGTATAATTATAATTTTCAATATGCGGATTGTGAAAATTAATTAATAATCAAATTAATAAGTGTATATACTGAGAGAAGATATGTACTGAAATAATTAACTGTGTGAAAACAAAATTTCCCACAACTATTGCATTGAAATTTTTGTCCCATTTTCTTCCTTATTTCTCCTACAATCCAACAAGCAATTTGACCAACATCGGTAATCTGGATGTGTTAGTATGCTAATAATATTTACGGGTAATATTAGGAATATCAAATTTTTTACCAAATGTCTCACAACATGTTGATCATTTGTTTGGTAAAAAATTTGATACCTATAACATTTTCCCATATTTACTGTGGAAATAAATGTGATTTTATTAAGTGGGATATCCGTGATTTATGAGGATCTCGTTTGAAAATATGTTATTTTAATAAATTTTTAATTAAATATGAAATAATAAAAAAAATTAATATGTTTAGAATGTGTTTTTGACATTTTACAAAAAAAATAAAGAAAAAATGAAATTTTGAATTTTTTCTATAAACTAGTAGTTCACCCATGCAATGCACGGGCTAAACATGTTTGCTTTAAAATATTTTTTTTAATAAAATTTAGTTAAATTATTTATATTTTTAAATATTTAAAATAATTGTTAAATTGGAGAAATAAATAAACAATAATTTAAAATTTAAATAATAATTCTAATTATTTATTTTAATAATTTTAATTTTATCGTACCATAAAATGGTATTTAAATCAATACATATACTAATTTTAAATAAATTATTTATGTGTATTTTAATAATTTTAGCTCTATCACATTATAAAAATATAACTTACATAAATATATATATAATAAATTTCATAAAAATAAATATTTTTTATATTTAATTTTTTTTAAAAAAGAAAAAAAAAGTAGAATAAAATTAAGGAAAAATTACCAGTAAATCCTATGTGGTAAAAAGTTAAACCATTTAGTCATACAAATTTTCTTATGCACCATTTAGTCCCACTATCTACATCAGCAACATCATCAATATCATTAACATCATCAAAACATTAGCTACATTAGCAACATTAACTGCACCAATCGATAATATCAAACATTAACAAAACATCATCCAAAAAAAAAATATGTGAACATCATCAACATCATGATGTTCTTCAGAGATGTTCAAATCAGATTGAATCAATACGAGCCCTAATCAACTCCCCAACAGACAGATCCATGATTCTTCTTCTACGATGATCATCTTCTTCTTCAAATCGTTGTCTAGGGCAAGGGAAGGAGGTTGTTGGCAGCGTCGATACGGCTGCGGTGGTGGTGGTTCATTTGTACGGCGGCGATGTGGGTCCAGACAAAGGCGAGGGTAGGGTCGTTGCCCCTCTCTCTCTCAGACAGAACCATTGCCCATCTCTCTTTCAGATCGTGAAACCCTAGGCGGCGGGGTGGTTATGTTGGTGATGGTAGTAGTAGCTATGCTTTTGGGTGTCTCTGTTTCATCTCCTCCGTCAACATCAACATCAGGATCAGGAGCATCAGGATCAACTTATGAAAATCAGCAACAATCGCAGAGGTCGTGGTGGAAATCAATGTTTTCTTCGTCGGTCGTCATATTAAATTATAACACAAAAAAAAAGTATTCATTTGATAATTTTAACATTTCGTGCTATAAAAATGTAACTTAAATAAATATATATAATAAATTTATATGAAATTAAATTATAACTTGATATTAGAAATAATTGCTATAAAATTACAAGTGATTCTAATTATTTAAGGCTTCAATATAATTAATATTATAAATAAGGTAGACATAAAAATAAGAAACAATTTTAATATTTTATTTTTAAAAAGTGGAAAAAGTATAATAAAATTAATTGGTAAAGTATTTTTAATATCAATAATTTTATTAGGTGTTGTTTATGCGTATTAAGTAGAAATATTTTAAATATTAAATCAAAAAAAAATTGGTAAAATGATATATTGATGTGGCATTTTAATTAAAAAAAAAAAGGAAAAAAAAAAAGAGATGCACCACATAGAAGAGAGAAAATTTGATAGCAAACACTACCTTTAATAATATATATATTAGTAGGTGACCCATGCGATGCACAGAAATTTATTTTTAAAATAAAAAATTAATTGTGAGTCTTAATACTTTATGTGTAAAAAACTTTAACAATTGAAAAGCTAAAAACATATTTATTAATGGTTGTTGAGAATTTTTGTCACTGTGTATGGTCCTATGTAAATAAGCTCATAAAAATAATTTCTTTCGAAGTTTAAAAAAGAAGGGTATATTTTCGACCTGAAATCAAATCCTCATTTGTGTTAATCAAATTTACCAAAAATCATGAATTTCACTTGTATCAAAATATTTTTTTTGAAAAAAAAATTTAAAAAAAATCTATAATAGATAAATTATGACTTAATTATAACTAATTATGTATTATTTTGGTTATTAATCGAAAATGTCTTTACTAATTTCTTATGTCTTTTGTTATGGTTAAAGTGGTGCATCGAGTCTTTAATTATACTTCATGTGGTATTTGATCATAATCTATTATAATATTTTTATATGACAATATTTAAATATTTTATTACACGAAAAGTACTTAAAGTGGGTTAATTCAAATGTAGGATTTATGCTTATATCAGAAAAATCGTAAGAGTTATTTACAATGATGCATAAAAAATTATAAATTCAAATCATAAATAGTATCCTCAAAGATAATTAGGCACAAATCTCTATAACCTTAATAATTTCAATTTTGAAAAAGGGTTTTGATTAATTATGTGATACATCATAATAATCGTAAATTTTTTATTCTAGCCAAATTATCATTGCATATCTTTTCTGAGAGAACTTATGAAAGTGTATTATCAGTAATACTATAAATTTAAAATTTTTAAAATTTTTATTTAAAAATTATTCAAGAAACATCAATAGGTGCCTTAAATATACACAATCATTTTCGATGAATCCTTATTCTTTAATAATACTTCACACTATTTATCATTTGACTTTTGTCAATTTATCTTCTAAAAACCTATCAAAAAAAAGTATTGAATTTCGTTATTTTAATCAATCAATATGAAACAAGATGTTATACGTGTATATAAATAACTTCTAAAAATATGATGTCTGCCATAAAATCAAAATGGAGTTAACTTTAATTAATGTAATGATATTTTATACAATAATATGTGTTACAAAAGAATAAAATTAATTATAATTTAAAATAAAATTTAAATTTAAATTATATGTTTTCATAATCTTAGTTTTATCATTTTGTAAAAGTATTACTTGAATGCTTATATATAATAAATTTAGTTAAATTTTTGTTTATTTTGATAATTTTAGTTCTATTGTACTATAATAGTGTAATTATCATATAATGATTTTATATGATATATATATATATATATATTAAATTATAGGAGAATTTTTTTTAAGGTTCCTAATAATAACAATTTACAAGATAAAGGACACTAAAAAAATAAATGATGCCTCAGGTCCCTGAACCAAAACACCCGCGCTTTTTATTCATTTCTTGGACCAAAATACCCTTAACAATCAACCGAGCGAGAAAACTGATCTGCATTCAGTTCGATCAAATTTCTCTAACAACTAGTTCCACAACTGATATCCACGAGCGATAGAACGATGACACTAGGGTTTCAAAATAACCTTCACAATCGACATTAGGCTTTGATCATCTTCCGCAAAAAATCTTTTTGATTCCTTCCGCACAAATATCTCTAACGACGAGTTCCACAATTAATATCCAAGAGCGAGAGAACAAGGACACTAGGGGTTCGATTCCTTCCGCACAAATTTCTCAGACGCATTTTTACTGTTCATCGTCGTCTCAGTTCATCTTCATCACAGTGCATCAATTCGTAATTAGGATTTCATCCTCACTCTGGTAAGCTTTTCTCTAGAAACACAATTAATTGCATTTTATATTAGCCTTCCATTAATTAGGGTTTAATTTTATCGAAGCTTGCTGTGTGCTTGTATCTATCAATTTCTCTGGCATTTTAATATTCTATGGCTTACTAGATTTATGTTTCTTTTTTGAAAATTTCTCTGGCATGCTTATTTTGTTCAATTCTTGTTTTCCTCCAAATTTCTCTATTGTGTAATGTTCTGTGGCATGTTTATGTTGCTTTGTTTATTTTCTCTTACTAATTGTGTATTCACTTGTTTAATTTTCTCAGTTATAGAAAATT